AGAGAGAGAGAGAGAGAGAGAGAGAGAGCTTTGGCAATTGCATGGCCTAGTGTCATTAGATTGTAACTCTTTGATCGACGCCATGACAATGGTGCTTATGTACCTTCTTTATTTGGCTTGATAGTGCAGCACAAGCCAAAGGGGTTAAACAATTCACTTTATTTGATGCTTGTGTGAGTGTCTTTGTGTGTGAGAACAGGAATATGTTATCTAGTGCCCTGCTTGTGGTAGCAAGGAAACTAGCTCTACTGAGAGCTAACTCAGTACCATAAAGATTGCACTGTGAACTAGTAATCAGTAGAAACATCCACAGAACTGTGTATGCATTCACATTGGCAGATTAGCTAGGTATAGTAGCAGAGGCAGGTTTTTGGAACCATGAGGTGAAAAATTTTAGCTCCAATATTGATGGTTTCATGAACTTCATGACGAGAAAAAAGAACAAGAATCTGAAGTTTATCCAAGTTGCACCTTCTGATAGTGTAATTTAGTGTGCTCTAGAAGTACAATGAAATAAATTGCACATGATGCTTATTCCTAGAATTGTACTTTCTTTTCTAATACTGAAGCATGAAGTTTACCCAGTTGATTATTATGAAGGTTAGTGTCTTGTGTGCTGCTCCATCATGACAATGGCAAATATAAACTTGGAAGGGCAATAAACCACCGTGAGATGAACATGCTGTATTTTCTAGTTTGGAGAAGACAGCCACTCGAACATTAAATTTATTGGCTTATGCATCAAACAGCCAAAATTTAGTGGAAGATGCAGTTAGATCCAAAGAACATCTCCATTCAATAATCAGATCAACTTTCATAATTAGATCATCAGTACTGAGAAAAATCTTGCACAATATTTTGTTGACTCGGGAGAAGTTAGTTGTGGCTTTCATGCTATCTATTATGGAGATGGTTCTGTGTTAAACATCCCTGCTAACATGACCGCTACTTGTTGTCTTTAAAAGCTCAATGCATAGGAAAGCTGCACAAAGCATAAACCATACTGGGTGATTTCTTTTTCGAATATTCACCTGAGGTTCAGTTAGGAAAAATAATTGGAATTCCTTCAGTTAAAAGGATATCTAATTCTGTAGAAGGATTTATGCAGAAAATGGGCCTTTTGGAAGTCTCATTGCCGATTGATCCAGTCAAGCAAGATGTTGGTACAGAAGAAAGTAGACTAAGATTAGTCAGAACCAGAGAGACGCGGTCCTCAAATTTGGTACACTCTCCTAAGACTTATAGATCATTGTTACAAGGATCTGAAGCAAAATTCTCTCAAGAGTTGATCTTTTCTTGCTCAAGTACCAGATCAACTTCCTCTGACCTGTCTGCTTCACCGGCACATAGCTTTGTCACCTCAGCGCTTGTTTACTGTGTCTGGGAAAGTAGCATGCCTTATTTCTTATTTGTTGTAGATGATGATGGAGGTGAAGTATATGTGGCTCATCCTCTGAAGATTAGTCCCTCTGTTGATAAGTCCCTGGATTACATTTATCTGTTCCATTCATGGAAAGCAAGCAGAACTGCATCAAACAAAAATGTTTCTAATGCTTCACATGTTGTTGGAAAGATGAAGGTATCGAGTTCTTTAATTGTGAATTCCAGAAGATCTAAATTCATGGAAATTGAGTTTGTTTTATTTGGTGCCAATGAAGAATATTCGAAAGAAAAGGAAAAGCCATTATCAAATGTCAAGAAAAGTAATGGGCAATCCAAAAAGGTGGTTGAGATGTTTAGGCCAAGTCATTCATCCATGCACAATCCTAAACTTAAGTTTGGCGAATCAGGTTCTCGGTTTGAGGACCTGTGGCAATTTTTTTCTAATGAGTTACAAACTATTTATGAATCAGATTGTGCAGATCAGCTCACAAATGGTTTCCCACCTAATCTTGAATTGGCGGCAATAGTTGTCGGAGATCACAGATATAATAGCTCAAAAGATGTAGCTTTTGGTGGTTGGGGCCTCAAATTCCTTGAGAAAGTTGAACTCAATGATGCTGATTTTTCTCAAGGGCTGCCATCATCTTCTTCCAAAAGTTGTAAAGAGAAATCCGAAAGTGATAGGAAGAAGACTGCCAGGAATGTGACTGTTTTAGTTCCGGATGGATTTCACGGAGGACCAGTTGCCGAATTTGGTGGTCCTTCTAATCTTATTGATAGATGGAAGACAAATGGACATTGTGACTGTGGGGGGTGGGATGCTGGGTGTCCTATAAAAGTACTAAACAATGAGTCTAACAGTTCAAAGATTTTGCCCCAGGCAGAGATGGGAGAGGATCACAAGTCATTTGAACTATTTATAGAGGTGCAGTGTACATTTTTATCCATGTGATTATTTCATTTCTTTTGGCCTACCTTTTGATATTTATTGTCCGTGGTTTTGCATTGATTACTGGAACTTGTAGGCATGCATGTTTCGTTTAATAAACATGATGTCCGGCAACTTATACTCTTTTAGGTGAGTTCTATAGTTGAATCTAGTCTGGATATTTCCCTCATTAGAGGTTTCCCGATATCTTAGTATTTGCAGATATGATTTGTTATTTTATTTGACAGAAATTTTATATCAGGTGCTCTATGTGATAGGTTTTCTTTTACTTCGAAGTATCTTTCATTTTGTAATCCATATTATTTTCTGATTGGTTTCTGATACATAACACCAGCGAGCTTTGGTTTCTTCTCCCGCAGTTCTCGGTCTCTCTTGTTCTTCTAATGGTGATTGTTAGACCAATTATTATCTACCTTTTCTTATTTCTCCTGCACTTGTTTATCTTGTCAATCTTGCTGGTGACAGTTCCTAAACCAACTGCTAAATAATTGTCAATTACATGCAGATCATTCTCTATTTCTGATAATCTTGTTTTCATTATGGTTTTTTGTAGTTCAAATCTTTGAAACTTGTCTTGTTCACACACATGCTTTTCATTTCTAATCTGGCTTGATTTTTACCAAATAAAGAGTTTCATATTCCAACAGGCTGGCGTATCAAAAATTAATAATATGCTACAGTTTTATGCTGTATATCGAATTAAACATCTCTGAATACCTATTTTATAGTATTTATTTATAATTGCTCCCAGTGATCTATGAAGATCATATCAGGTAGGTCATTAAACATGTCATAGGTGATCTATTTGTTAAACCATTGCAATCCGAAGAACTAATCCATATAAATGAACAAGCCTTTAAATGTTCAGGACATGTTTTTGAGTGGGTTATACTTGACATTGCTAATTCTTTTCTGAACAATGATGTCAGTATATTTGTATTTCACATTTATTTATTTGGGTAGAAATGGAACTGGTGATGCCAATTCTGATTTGAATTACTCATACTAATCACATAAGAAAATACCACTTGATACTCTAAATCCCTGTTGCTCACTCCATTCTTCTTTTCTGTTTACTTAAGACATAGTGGGTGTCTGTATCGACGTGGCAATAGCTGTATTACCTATTGATTGATTTCTTTGGTTAACCATATATGAGACTGTGATCGGCACACTTCATGCCAAATAGCTGACAAGGCACTAGCTAGCTGTTTCTTTGTGCGATTTTTGATAAATGAAATGGTTAAATTTGCTTGCATTTTTCAGGGTCATAAGCATGGAGAACCTGCTTTCCAATTGTTGAATGTGAGCAAAGACACATACGTCGTTAATGTTCAGCCAACTCTATCGGCTCTTCAGTCTTTCTCCATAGGAGTTGCAGTCATCCATTCCCAGACACCAGATCTGTATCCAAATTTGTGATTTATGGAAGTTCTGTAAGACTTCTACCACTCTTTTTATCCTTCTTTCATCATGTAATAAGGTTTAATTCTATATGGTGATAAGATTATAGTATTTTTGTTTCACTTTGCGGTTTTCAAGTCAGTGGTGTCTAAATTTATATGTAGGAAAGAGTAGGAGATTTCTCCAACAACTCAAGCCCATCTTGCTTAAATTCCAAGTTGGCTTCAGCTCAGTAACCTTCTGAAGTCAATTGTAGCAGTTGAATTTGCATGGACTTGCTCTATTATACAGAAAGGATTCAATCATTCTTATCAGCAAAAAGTAAATCATGGAATAGAATCAGTCCTTGTGCTTGCATGTGCTGTTTAGTCATCTTTCTGTCACAATTTCTGAATTTCTCTGATTCTTTGTTTTTCTCTTTTGTGTGCTTCTTTTGCGGTAAAATAAAATAGATCTGCTCATGTTTTTCATCTATGGATGACAGATGACTCAACACAACATATGAAAATTAATCAGGAATATGTGTGTGTGTGTGTGTTTGGGGTGGGGTGGGGGGGGGGGGGTGTGGGTGTTCTAAATGTAAGAGCTTATATCTCAATATGATCTTAAATTTCTAATCAATGTCATTGTATCTAAAGACTTAAACCTGTAGATTACACATGATATATATATTTATACTTTTGACACAGTTTCTCCTTTTCTTTTCTGGGTTTTACAGGAAAGGATATGATCCTAATCTTTTTGAAAAATGCAAAGTGATCACCCATTGGTCCCCAATCCATATCTGGCACAATTCTGGCACAACTGGACAACAAAAGGAATCCATCCCCCCCACACACACCCCACATCATAGTTTTGTAGTGTTTGCTTGGTCTTCTCATGTCTCTATAGCAAAAGTAATTGTGCCTCAATGGAAAGCTGTGCGCACATGTGGAATCCATCAAAGGAGGAACACTATGTGGAATCTCTAGAAGAAAGGGTTGCATATTGTAAGGCATAAGCATAAGATCTGGTTGTGAAAATGACATGAATTCATAAACCCCTCTCAAGCAATCACTACAACTAAAAATTATACAATAAAAATAAATATAAATAAAATATAAATATATATATATTAAAAAATAAAATATATTTTAATTCGAATTGAAAAATGAGAAGCGCATGATACAAAGAGTCTAGGAAATATTTTATGACTCAAAACTAAATATGGTACCTCTTTCTTATCTAAGTGTACATCAAGAGCAATACCTACAAAAGTGAGTTGGCTCTTTAGACCATGTGATATGCACCTTCAATGCTTCTTAACTTTGATTATCTGAATCAACCTAAAGGGAGAGGTGTCAGGTTGTGTCGAGCCAATTCGACATCGTCACATTGAAATCATCATAATCTTCTCGAACAAAATTAAAATTTCTATCATAATCCACTTTGTAAAGCTCTTTTTGAGCCTATGACCCTACACGATTAATAGTAAAGTTATGACATTGATTTTCGCCGCTCAAAGGAATAAAAGCAAGATAATATCGTAAAAAGAGATGTGACACAAGAACATCCTAAAGGGTATCCCAGCACAGTAAGAATGCTTAACTTAAGTTGTAATGAGATCGTGTTGGTGTGATAATACCATCAATAATGAGGAAGGCTATGAGAACTTGTATCAACACCATTAGTGAAGTTACCGCAATGGTTCGTAAGGTGTATTTAAGTTGATGATGCCTTCATAGGACGATGATATACTACACAGTAACTTTAGATAGACCGGTGGAATCGATGCTAATGTGGCTCAATCTCATGTGACATTAGGATCACATGTATTCTCTGAACCAAGTCAAAAGTGACTAATAAATCTAAAGCTATGGCCATAATTAAACCTATCACGTAAAAGAATATTATTCATTCACGAGCTGCGCACACTATCAGCTTTTTTTTTTCCCCTGAAGTATTAAATGTAAAATAAAAAAAATAAAATATTAATAAGGAAAAATTGCATATATATTTATATATAAAACCCTTCAAAGTCATTTTAACCCTATAAAACTCAAAAGGTTTGTGTACTTCTTGGGAAATATTAAAACATTTGTTGATGTTTTTCTTAAAAACCTCAATTAATTGTTGCTCACATGCTATGAGGTTATTGAAAACATTATTATCAGTGATTAATTGGGATTTTGTAATAAATATTAATAGAATGGTTATATATATAAAAGGATGGATGTATAATTTTTTTTCCCCATAAAATTACTGGAAAAGATAAAAAAAAAATAAGGGTTTTTTTTTAATGTAAAGAAACATATTCTCCTATTCTTTTTTTTTTATCTTTAAATAACAATCGCCAATAAATCGGTCATTGTAGGCTGAGCTGAGCTGGATGTTTACGAACTTCCCCGAATCGTACCGTCTTCGTCTGCGTCTCCCGATCGACGACGACGACAGCCTCCTCCCCCGACCGCTGGAATTCGCGGAAGCGTCATATGCAGGTGAGGATGCCCAGAAGCCAATTCCAGGGTTCGCGTTTGATTCGGTTACGTTTGGCGTTTGTTCTTTCTCTACCCCTTTGGAGCCATTCGTTCGTGGTCCGGAGAACTTCTCCCACGTCGTGAGCGTTTTGGATAAGAATGCAAAGCAAGGTCAGCTAGGGTTCTGGATTTTTCGTTACTTGTTCCCACTTATCGGAATCGATCGAAGTTTAGGAGCTTTTTGGGGTTCTCCTCGGTATATTTATCGAACTTCCTCTTTGATCTCGACCTTATTACTTTTTTCCTGATCGTTAAGATATGAGAATCTCATCTCGATATGTTTGGTTGTTCAAGTATGGGATAGTGCTCTGATGACTGTAAAGTTCTTCATGACTTTTTTTTTTTCTCTCCCTGAGTCGCGTGGAGTATGGCAGTCATCATGGATTTGCCGGTCTGTTTTCTTAGATCGAGTTGAAATTACTAGGATCGCAAGTACAACAACAATCTTGCTTCTGCTTTGGATTTGAAGTCGATCCCGAAGTAAGGATACAAGATGGCGTCTTGATGTGTGAATTTGGTCTATTAATTTTGGGGGCGTTGAGCAATCACGGCTTTGGTTTGGTATTGTGCCACTGATAGGGCCAGGGAGAGGGCTTATAATCTCTTTTCTTTTTTCCTAGTTATCATTTATGATTGCAATCTTCATAAGTTTTCAGTCAAAGTTGCTTTTCTGGCATAAGGCTGCCATTACCTCCATTTCTACTGGTTTGGAAGGCATTGATCTTGAGTGTGATAATTATCATTATTGCTGAAACTCTTACATGTGTAGTGTGTCAAACCTGTGTTCTTGTAGGCCTTCTGTTTTCCTTTTTACCCATGCTCAATTGTTTTGTTTTGTCAGACATATCAAGCATACATCTTAATGTTGGAATATGTTGATGGTCTTGATCATCTCAAGTTACACTATCTAGATCTAGAATATTGGGTATTCAACAGTAGCAAACTGTAAGCTTGAGTTGTAAATCTAATGTTAATTGTTAATCGTTGTATATCTTAACTGTTTCTTTTCCTACCTTAGTTTGAATTTTTTTGTTGTATTGTACAAAGTTTTAAACTCATCAAAGTTGCTAAAATAAGTAAACAAGCTGCAAATAAATGTCTTTCTTTCATCAACTTCGAAAAATTTTGCTTAATTGTGGAAGGTTGCAAAATTGTCCAAAGCTTAAACTGCAGTAACCATACTCAGGCCCTTTTTGCTGTCAAAAGAAATAATGTTATCTGAGACCCTTAATACTTATATGGATTAAACTATAGTGTCTATCATGACATTTTGCATAAGACCATTGATGTCTTTAAATTACATGTGACAGACGTACATCAATTCCACATTTTAGAAGGTTTACATGATGGTTTCTTCTGGAGATCTGAGTATTTACTAAGTCTTCTGTCCAAGTAAAACTGAGATAAAGCCAAATTTTATTTGTGAAAAGTGAATCTCTTTGGCTTCTGGTGGAACAAAAAGACTGATTTGTTTACTACTTGAAATAGTTGAGTTGTACATTTTCTCTTGTCAGTCTAAAATCCTGACTACAGGAAAAAGCACTGGCAAAGTACCTGGTAGTCTTTAACCATATCCACATTAGTACTATTCCTCAATGACATCAAATTAGTTGACACATTTGGATTGCTCAATGGTAAGAATTTTTTCTAAGTTATTAAATGCTTTAGGGGATAGCTAGATGATTGTTTTTAGGTAATTATCTATTTCTCTTTAATTGTGGTAATGACTTAGATTATCTGTTCTCACTGAACATTTGAAAAGTTCTATTTCAATTATGAAATGATGATTTAGATTGTACAGTTCATCTTTCCCATTCTGCATCAATTATGATTAATCTTTGAATGGTTAGCTTATGCACAATGTGATAATCTCCATGTATGAGTTAAAACACTGGTACCAAACAAATAGAACCAAATAATGAATTGGAGCGGAGTTGAGAAAGTGGCCACTCGGTTTCAAGATAGTCTTACTCGTTATTGGGTTGAGGAAGTCCTAAATCTAAGTAAGCCTTGGAAAATAATTAGCACAATTTTGGAGTAACTTCCACAAAATTTCAGAATTAGTTCTGCTGTTGTTGTGGTAATGTTTTCTGTTTGTTGTAGTTTACTTTATGCACTTGAATATCCTTTCCTTTGTGCACATCTGATGTCACTGCATGAACTGAACTTTTTCCACTTAGATGTACAACATGCATAATTGTAAGGAACTGCTAAATCTAATTAGTTATAAGTAACACATAATTAATCTAATTAGCCATTTGCCAATGTTGATTCATCCACACCGATGAAGCCTGCCCTGATCAAAATGCTATTTAGCCTTAAAAAATGACAAATTATGTTATTGGTGCAGCATTAGCTGATTGTAGTGATGGTTTCTGACAAAAGAAAGGTGGAAGAGGGCAGGCCCTGAGGCAGTAATGATATTGCAGCACTGCTCCATCATCTTATGAGTTTGGATTGCTAAAACAGCCTTGTCAGAAGCTGAACTAATGCTTCAGCTAACGCTTCCAGCCCCTGAGCCTCATATAGAGCTTCCTTATCTTTAAATTAAATGATGTGGAATAAAAGACAGGACATTTTGGATTCCAAGTGAAGGCTCCAATACTTCCAAAATTAAGATATCATTGTTATTGGCTTTTGTGAACATATGCCTTTTATTACTAAATGATGCCATTAGTTCACATGTAGGATGGAAGTCTCTTGAACTGTAATATTATTTTGGGATCTTGAAAGATGCCATTTTCACTGTTTAGGGTGTTGTAATGTGTTTTTCCATACAGACTGGTACAGTTGATTATAAATATTCAGATTTGATATATACCTCATCCTAGGCTAAGATCTGTCACCCATAGGTCCGCCTTGACAATATGTGAATATTTAGCTTCGCAAATTTTATTTTTCCCTTCATAATGTGTTCCCACCCTTACCACCTAAGATTAGTGTCAGTTCAGTTGCTAAATTTATTTACTACATTTAGTTGTTCTTTTCCCCTTCTTTATACCTTATTTCTTTCCTGCACCACATTTTGATGGGCTAACTTGGCCTTTTCTTGTTCTGGAACCTTACATTTGTTCACATAGAGCAATGCACTTCTGGATGAGTTGACTTGGTATTTCTCTTTGAAAGTTGTATATTACTCTTTCCTGAAAGGAAGTCAAAGCTGCTCCAGTATTATGAATCCTTTTGGTCCTGTTATTTCTTTTTCTGGTGTTCCTTTATTTGTGATACAAGGTTGTGGTCTTAAGTGGCTTGTTGACTGTAAAATAAGGATGTTGTTAACTTTTTTTAAGTGATGACTGTTTCACAGATTAAAAGCACTAATTATTCTCTATATTGTGCTGACATAATCTGTTTCACTTTGTTCTAGTCATCAATATGATATTTCTAGGGTTCAAGAGATGACTTCTTGCCACATGAATATTGTTTTAGAGTTGATTTAATTTATTTCTTAACATTCTTGTGTAGGTGAATGGTCTACGGACAATGTATGCATGGAAAGAAATGGAAGCACATTCGGC